TTTGCCTGATGCCAAACTTCCCGTTTTGTTAACACTCTGGCACTGTTGAAGTACTTAAGTTCTTCCATTTTTCCCTAGATCATAGGCCAGGTTTACGCTGACCCAGACTGTCTCCCACGCACACTGGATTTTGGCCTTAATGTCAAGCTGTTCTGGGAGAAGTTTGCTCCTGCTGACTGTCCTCCAGCGTTTTTCCCCCTGGCTGCTATTTGCTGCAGACTGGAGCCAGAGAGCAGGTAGGTTTGGGGTAGGTTTGTAAGCCTGGAGGATGTATCCCCATAGTGGAAGAACCACTCGGCACAGAGGACAGTTAGAACTTTCTGTGGGAATGCTCAAAGGCTTCCATGTATGGAAGAGCCTTAAGACTCATCAGTTTGAGAGAGACCATTGTATATGGTGGAGATCTCTGAAGCAATTCTGAAATAGGGAGGGTAAAGGAGGAATGATTGTTCAGGGTTTCTCAGGTATAAAAAGTAGGGGCAGACCTTGGCAGCAAGGTGAATACTTCATTTATTTCAGTTGTAAATCTTGTAGCTTCAGAACAGTGTTGATGCCAAATGGGTTCCAAAGAGCTGGACCTCCCTGGTCATTGGCTGTAAGACCAGGGAGCCCAGACAGATGGGGGCTTTGCAGCCTTGGAAGCTGCATGGAGTGGCAATCATGGCGCTGCTCACAGCTCTGTACGTGGCACAGGGGCCTGGATGGACAACTGGCTCAGCATTTTCAGATGCTGTTCTGCTTCCTCTTTCCCACTCACATTTCCTCCGTGCTGCTTCTAGGCCTCCTTTTTCCAAGCTGGAAGATTCCTTTGAAGCTCTCTCTCTCTACCTGGGAGAACTTGCCATCCCCCTTCCATCTGAGCTGGAGGAGCTGGACCACAACATAAGTGTGCAGTATGGACTGAACCGTGACAAGCTACCTGAGAACACAACCTAGTCTGCTTGTCCTGCTGCCTGCATCACTTCCATTGGAGTTGGGGTGAGCATCGGGGAGGGAGATGCACTTCAGCCACTTCCAGGGCATTAACAGGGCACCACACTGTGCGTTTGCTGCATTGCCTCTCTCTCCCCACCCAGCACCCCTCCTCTTGGACATCTTGATTCACTGTGGATTTCTGGCATGTTTCAGAAGCAAAAAGAGCTGTTTCCTGCCAACTGCACCTAGGAAAGCTGCTCAACACTAATTTTCTGGCTTGAGAAATGTTTCTCTAGCCTTTTCAGGCTTCTTTACTGTGGTGCCTTAGAACTTGGCTGCAAGCTGTGAAGCCACCCTGGTCTCTCTGCCAGGGAGGGAATTGCTATAGGAGACTCTCTTGGGTAAGGACCAGCACTTCTGGAACTGCTTCTCCCACTGACTGCCCTGCTCAGAAAGCTGGGGAAATTGGACATCCAGCAAAATGCCTGACCAGGACAGTGTGTGTGGTGTATGTTTTTGCATGTGTTTCCCAGAACAACCCACTGAGATTGCATCAGGGGAGGGAGTGAAAAGCCCTAGGAACTGGGCAGCTGTCCTGGAATACCTTGTCTATGGGGAAGCATGTAAGAATTTTTGTTTTGGGTTTGTTGGTTGGTTTTTTTTCCTTCTGTCTCTGAATACCTCCAAAAGCCTGCCTAGAAACACTAAGACTGAGCTCTGCTTGCCCCTCCTGATGGTGAATAAGGCAGGCAGCAAATGAGCCACTGGACCGTTTTCAGACCCTGCACCTGCAGTGAGTTTGCCTGCCCAAAACCTTAACCTAGGTGAAAGTATTTGAACCTGAATGTGTAGAACTGCACTAGGCACTGGCTGTGGACATTCCTGGAGTGCTGAAGCTGCTTGAGCTCTTGACCTATGGGCATGAGGTGACAGAAAGGGTGGTAGAAGGTGCTCATCGGAAAGCCAAAGGTTTGAAGTGGCTCAGACCTTGTGCGTGCACAGTTGCAAAGGGGAACTTGCCCAAAGTTACTTAAAGGATGGACTCATGAACAGAAAAGTGCTGGAAAATGTCCCATCCTCCCTGGAGTGGCAGCTGGAGAACTAATAATTCAGTTGCCATTACCTCATCCTTTCCTGCAGGTTGTGCAAGTTGGCTCCTTTTGAAGGTCCTTCTTGCAGCTGCTGCTGCAGCACCTGAGCTGATTCTCCAAGATGAAACTTTCCTCAGGGTCATTTCCTGCTTCAGGGGAGAAAAAGGGCTTGGAGTCAGTGGGATGTGGGTGGGGGTGTATTTTTTTCCAGTACTTACTTTCTTCCTCCCTCAGTGGGAGAAGAAGAAAGCTACTGCTGCAGTAGCTCACGTGGTTGGCAGAATTGAACAAAAAGCTGGATCAAGTCCTGCTCTTAAGGTTCACAAACATCATGGTTTAACTGGATTGTTAGTGTGTTCCTTGTTCCCCTCCCTCCCTTCAGCATTGAATGGTGGGGAATGGGTGTTAGTCTTTGCTGTTACTTTAATTGCCTCCCCCTACCCATGAGTTTAAAGTATTATGTAAAATAACATGGGACCAGCCATCACCTGACAACAGGCGTGCAAGGGGGCATGTTTTCAGTCTGTGTAGTGGTGTTTTAGAAACACTGGGGCCTCCCTGTGCTGAGTCAGTGGAGGAGCCTCTCTAAACTGGGTCCAGTGGATTCAGGATTGTTAATAGTATTTGCCCTTTCATCCCCTCTCCCAGGCTGGTTTGCGAGGGGACCTGTGAAGGGGAGTTCTGGGTGATGTTTGGGTGGGGTTTATGAACTGTGATTTGCACAGCTCCGTGTTCTAACTAAGTTAAAAAGCAGCAAATGTATGCTGTGAAAACAAGATTTTGTGGTTTCTGTGTTAAATAAAACAGGAAGCTGTTAACTTTCTCAGGTTCGTATTGTGATCACAAAATGGCAACATCAAAACTGCTCAGATGAGGTATCATCTAGAACACCCTTTCTTGAATCAGTGGGCCCTGCTGCAGTTACAGAACTGCACAGTCACAGTGCAAGTGCCCTGTAGGACTATTTACCTGCAGTGATGGAAAGAGAAGTTGTCAAGTTCTATTCATTGGTTGGTTGCTTTTTAAAGGTGGACAGGAGTCAGCAGAACATGGAACCTCTTTCCATCTTCCTTTTCTAATCCAAGGATAAAAATACAGCCTGTTCTGGAAACTCATACTGAAACAGGTAGTTCAAGGGACATTTGTTAAGGCAACAACTGAATGAAAATGCTAGCTCTGTCAGTGCCTCTTGCAACGTGCTATGCTCTGTTTCCATCATGCTTTACAAGGAATGGAGCTGCTGCTGAGCAGCACCAAAGCAGAACTGACCCGTGTCAGTGCAGGAAGGGGCTGTAACCAAGAGTCTTCCCACGGGCTGTCTTGAGTCAGCACAGCTCACAGCTACTTTTCAGGAACAGTGTCCCAGGACATGGCCAGCTGCTGGCAGCAAGGAGACAAGCTCCATGTCTCTTGTTAGTTCTGGTGCTTGGAGGCACCAGTTGTAGGGTTTTACCTTTGGGCCTGGCAAACTGGTGTCTTCCCTTCTCCTCAGTTCAAAGTCTCTGACAAGTGAAAGGATGCTGCTCTGGCAGGAGAAATCCACGATCCACACAGGTCTACAGAGCATTTTTCTTTTAAGCTTTAATACAAGGTAGCACAGTCTGCACCTTCTCATAATGAGGTATTTAAAACATTTTACAAAGAAATGGTATTCAAAGGCATTTAAAAATAAAACATTTCCCTTTTCTGAATCAAGCATTAACACTAAAACCTTTGCTGCCAAGTGCTGCTCCCTGTTAGGCCCACAGCTATAAAGCAGATGGCTAGAGAACTTACTTGAATGGCTTGAATCCCCTGAGATGGGGACGGATGTTTCCCTGAACTGGCCTTGCCTTGGTGCCTTTAGGGAGCCACTGCAGCAACCATCCCTTCCAAACCCCCTGAAATGCTCATAAAAGTTGTTACAAAACCTCTCTCTTAGGGCCAGGCTCTGTAAGTAAGTAGTCTTGCTGCACAAGCTGTGTGTATGACAGAGGCTGGGCTAGGAGCCACGCTGTAACTTCAGGATCTTACAAAGCAGCTGCTCTGTCCTGCCCTTGGAGCCAGAGCTGCTGCATTGAGATCAGGGTGACCTCCACAGGTTGGCCACTCTGTCCAGTGCTGGCTCTAGGAAGCCAAGGGAATTCGGAAGAGGATGTTACCTATCCTCAGTGTTTAACCTGCTGTAAGTAACTGAAGGGCAGTTTGTTTTCTTCACTCCATAACCATCTACTGCTGGCCTTTGGTCTCCTGATCTGTGTAAGTGCACAGGAGGTACAGACAGACCACCTGAACACCTACAACTGTGGCTGTGCAAGTAGCACCGCAGGGGAATGGAGACGTGGCCTCAGCCCTGGAAGACCTAGATTTGTCAAGAGCTTGAGGAGAGCTTTTCCAAACTAGCACTGGAGCTAAACATACTGTTCCTGGCCCAAGACATCCCTCAAATAAACTCTTCCTTGGAAAATAAACTGATCCAGTAGCAGGGTTATAGACAGTGTTTCCAGCTCTCAGTCACTAAAGCAAAAAGGCAGGAACTACAATCAGAGTGTAATTATCTAGCTAAGTCTGTCATGAAGCTCCCCTCAGTCCCTGCAGTACTGCTCCCTCCTGGGGTTCCAGGCTGAAACTTAAGTAACAGTGCACACCGTTAAATAGGAAAGGAACAGAAAAAGAGGAAGCCAAGACCACACTCCAGGCTATGAGACCTGTGGCCAGATGTGAGCCTGGCCCATCATCCCCCCCAGCTCCTTGGCACACCACGGAGATAGGTGGGAAGAAGCAGCAGGGTCCACCACACCAGTCCCCAGCTGGTCATGCACTGAATGGTGCCCCTCAAACAGATTGTGATTGTGATGGTTTGAGCTGGAGTAGAGTTAACTTTCTTCATAGAGGCTAGTATGAGGCTATGTTTGGGTTTTGTGCTGAACACAGAGTTGATAATGCAGAGATGTTTTTGTTGTTGCTGAGCAGAGCTTACACAGAGTCAAGGCCTTTGCTGCTTTCCGTACGGCCACGCTGGCAAGGAAGTTGGGGATGCATGGGAGACTGGGAGGAGACACAGCTGGGACAGGTGACCCAAACTGACCAAAGGGATATTCCATACCATATGACATCATGCTCAGTATATAAGGTGGGAAGAAGAAGGAGGAAGGGGGGACATCTGGAGTGATGGCGTTTGTCTTCCCAAGGAATCGTTACGTGTGATGGGCCCTGCTCTCCTGGAGATGGCTGAACCCCTCCTGCCTGTGGGAAGCAGTGAATTAATTCCTTGTTTTGCTATGCTTGTGTGTGCAGCTTTTGCTTTCTCTGTTAAGCTGTCTTTATCTCAACCCATGAGTTTTTGTAGCTTTTACCCTTCTGATTCGCTCCCCCATCCCGTTGGTGGGGGAGTGAGTGAGAGGCTGTGTGGCTCTTGGCTGCTGCCTGGGGTTAAACCACGACAGTGATGAATAGCCCATTGTCCTGTTCCTCTGCATCACCTTCATCCGGCTTTCATCAAAAAGAAAACAAAATAGAAACGAACACACACAACCCCTGCACTCACAGTGGGAAGCTGGAGGCTTTGCTCAGCCTGTATCACCCCTGCCCGAGCTGCTCAGGCACCAGGAGTACCCGCCTGCCCCATGAGGGGGCCACTGCCGTCGCGCGTGTCCTCCACAGGTGTCTGGTTGGTGTGCACCACGATGGTGTTCTCATCCACAAGCTCACAGGCAGGATTGGTGAAGGCTGACAGTGGCAGTGTGATGCGCTGCATTTCACGCTCATAAACTTTCTGTTCGTGCTTCTCCTTCAGGTCTTTCCCCCTAGATTTAAAGAGCAAAACACGTGCATGGGATGAGTGCCACTGCTTGGAGGCAGACTCAGCAGAGGGGATATAGTAGAGAAGAAGGGGCTTTGCTATGTGCATGGGATGAGTGCCACTGCTTGTAGGCAGACTCAGCAGAGGGCATATAGTAGAGAAGAAGGGGCTTTGCTCTTTAAGATAAACAGAGGATCCCACCTGAGCATCTTTAAAAAACAAGCAGCTAAGTGAAGTCTGTCCCACCCCCAAGCTGGCTTGATTCACTGACATTGAGCTGCTAAACGATGACTGAACAGCCAGGCCTCTCCTGCAAACCACAGAGCTGCCATGTGTTTCTTTATGCCTCACAGTCCCACAGCACTGCCTGGTGCAGGCCCAGGGGAGCAGTGAGACAGCACACAGCCCGCTGCTGTGGAAAAGAGCTTCTGTAACCTGCTTCATCTGAGACAAATATTGGAGGTGGTGACAGCTTCTGCCTTTTGTTACAGCAAATTAAGCTGTCCCTGAAAGTAATAAAGCTTATTTCAGTGCTGGCCCTGCCTTCTGCCGCTGCCACAACCAGCTCCTCAGCCCACCTCAGTCTCCAGCCTGTTGCTAAGGGAAGGAACACCTCTGTAATTTGTGCTGAGGAAGAACTGCTTTGCTTTAAAAATGGATTTGGCATTAATAGCATGTTGTCTCCAGAAAAGCTATGTATACCAAAAGCTACTAAACCCATTAAAGGTTTCTCACCACACCTACCCAAACCTGCCAGCTTGCACATGCAATTTTGAGATCAAGGCAAGGAAGGAGACAGCAAACCTGCACTGCAGTCCTGCTGTGACCTCCCTGTTACTGGAGAAGCAAAGCTGCATTTGGACAAAGCCCAAGACTGGTCTATTGCTTCTTCCCGCCCAAGATGGGAGTGAGGTGGGACAGGCACTGCTCGCTCCTCCTGGGGCTTGTGATCCCAACCAGGCAGAGCTGCTGGGGTTTCCTGTCAGCATTTTGGCAGCTTTTCAAAGCTGCCTACAGGCGTGCAGCAGTGGCTGCTGTTCGTGCCAGCACACAAGACAGCATTCTCTGAAGTGACGCCTCAAATCAGATTCCTCGACAAGCAGCACTCTGTGTTTTGCCCCTTACGTAACACTCCTCCCTCTGGTTTTCTTTTTTTTGGTCGGCATTTATTATAAACACTTACATAAGGACATGTCCCAGCTTGGGAAAGGGCTCCTTCTGCTTGGTTGTGTCAGACTGCTGTCAAACAGCCAAAACACAGAACAAACCCTCCCAGAGGAGGGAGCCTGGGCCTGTGCTTGCTGCAGCGACAATCACTGCCATTTGTTAATCCTGCCCTCTCTGTTACAACTAAGCTGCTTGCTACTGCCACCACCCTAGCAGGCTGCTGAGCTACAGAAACATTTCTGTGCAACACAGTGAAGTGGATGAACAAATAATAACTGAACTATGAATCAAAACTGACATTAAAGTATATAGGAGCTTTGGTAAGATGAACTTTGACCACCAAAAAAGTGCTACTTGGTAGTCAGCTTCATAGCACACAATGCACGAGCTGCACGAAATTCGCCAATCGTTTTTCTTCTAAAGCTAGACTAGGGAAATCAGAGGAACAGGTGGCCTGCTAGAAGGATTGCTCTTTTTCTGATCACAGAAGAAACTTCCTCTGAGGGCACCTGGGATCTGCTCTCTCCAGCTCTTACATAAAATCCAGCTCCCCTGGATACATCTGAGAAAGCCACATCAAGGCACACATGCACATGCAAAACCCAAAGAATAAAGAGGTCAATTTGAAACTTTAAATGGGACAGAACACCACATTGATGGGTGAAACAGAGAATGGTGCAACAAGCAAAACGTTTGCTAAATGTACAAAACATATACTTCTGTCCCTTGTCCTTAGTATCTGGTTGAGTCTACAGGTGCTCAGACATTCCTGTTCTATATACACTAGCTTTTGGACAAAGAAGAACAGCACTCGCCTCTTATAGACGTATCCCAGGACAACACCAGCTCCCATGGCAATGATAATCACCATCATGATGAGTCCCAGCACATACCCTGTGAAAAGAGAAAGAAATAAGACTAAATTAGAGGCAGTAGATCCAGCTATAACATTTCTGTCAGAGCCTCAGAACAAATCCATTCCGCCAGAATTACAGGAATGGATCCACCACATGATCCTGGGTTTGTACCTAGTGTCCCTAAGTCCTTCTTTTCTTTGGAGTTCATCTGCACTCTCTGACTGATCCCGATGACAGGCTGCACTGCGGCTGCCTCGCTCCGGGAGGGCAAGGTATCAGCTGGTTCAAACACCTGGTCATCCTCCTGAGAAGTACCAACTTCTGCTGTAGGGACTGGGGCTGTGGTAGCTGTAGCATCTGTTGAGAGGGAAGAAAAGATACACAACATACCAAGCACTGATGAATACTTCAAAACAGCACATGCCTTGCAAGTGGGACAGATCTATACTGCTATCACCAAACTGCCTTCAAAGCACACTGACAAACATTTGTTCCCTCTTCAGTTGTTGCCAGAAATCCTACCAAAGCAGACAAGAAATGTACTCCTCCCCCCACTTCTGTCTGACATGAACCTATTTAACTAACAGTCCAAGGCACCACCACAGATAAGACAGAAGTCAGACAGCAGAACGAAACGCAGCTTGAGGGCATGAGTCCAGGGGATGCACAATGATTTCATTTAATGTATAGATCGATATACAGGCTGCAGCCTCAATCATGCTGAACAGACGTGAACAAGATTATGAGAATCTCCATCCCAAATCTCCCAGGAGCCTATTTATCTCTCTTCTGCCTCAATCTTCCTGACACAGGAAGATTTGACAGGAGACTCCAGTTGGCATGAAAACAACCTGGGGATATTCTTCCCCATCCCCTCTTTGCAGTGGTGTAGCAAACTCTGTCAGCAGACAGGATGGGTAAGTCAGAGCAGCCCCCCAGGCAGCACAGCCACAGACTAGTGTAAGGACAGCAAGTTTGTCCTCAGCCAGGGCCCAGACAAAGGCAGCCAAGGATGGACACTCATCGCACAGGTTCCTTCACAGCCCTATTTTTTATCAATGCTGGGTTTTCTCAACAGCATTGAAACATTTTCAAAGTAGCTCCTCCTTTCCCAACACAGTTCAAATGGAAACTGTAGCACAGTAGAAGCTGTGCTACAGTGTAAAGTAGGTATCTATTACCTGTTCTACACCAAAACCCCTACGTTTTGGAAATGTTATGCGTAGTATGCATCCACACCTAAAAACTCTCTCCACCTGGATCTTGCCCTACAGCTGGCAACGTGGATTTTCTATCTGCAGCCATTTTGAGTCCTCTGTGGAATGTGAAATGGAAGTAGAGAAGGGGATTTAGAGACAGGAAACCAGGGTCTCCTGCACTGCACGGTAACTTCAGGTAGGGTCAGCCAGGGAAGCTGAACTAAAGATTGCTGCTGGACATGACTACCGTGAAAAGGTGCCCACTCTGAGACACAAAAATCGTCAAACCCATTAAATATGCAAATGGCTGAAAGGTCGGGTAACTCTCCTGATCCCAAAGCTGAGGACTGTTTTGAGTAAGGCTCTTGGCAGCAGAACATTTGTGTTGCTTCATCTTTAGGGAAAAGCAGACAAAAAAAAGAGCAAAGTGAAGAAAAGAGGAGGGTGTTATATGTGTGGGAAAAGTATTTACATGCAAGGATAGCAACCTCAAGGGACAGTGGAGTGCATAAATCTTGCAGGGCTCAGAAATAAGTAAACAGTTCAAAAAAACCCCAAGTGGTTACTCTGGCATCAGTCAATACTGACATCTCTCCCTGAAACAAGCTTCAGCTACAGTTCTCTTGGCAAACTGTTTCCCACTGTGACTATACAGTAGAAATCTGCTGTTTGGGGTGTTCCATTTCTTACTGTCCTCCCTTCATTTCTCATTTTCTCCAAGTTCTTTTCCCCACCTGTACTCAAATCCCCACTGGCAGTCGTTTAGCAGCAGGACGCTTGGTTAGCCAGCTATGACATGCCCCACGGTAACAGTCTGCCAACACCTCTGCAGTTACCAGATTCCCAGCCCTCAGCCTTCCGCAACACAGCCAAAGAGCCCTGGTGACGGGGAGAGGGCTGGGGGCTTTCCACAGGCCTTTTCTGGCGCTAAGGTTAAAGCTCTAGGGGCGGAGAACGGCAGAGCTGGGGGCAGATGTGCCCGCAGGGCTGGGGGATAAGGCGGGGCGCGCTGTGCTCCCGGGGCGGTTTGTGCGCGGGGGGAACCC